AAGCCGGTGGTCTTGAACACCCAGTGCCCATTTGAGCAGTGATATATCCATAATTGATCCCACGATGGACCTCAACGATCCATCAGCGGTAAATTCCAAATGAGCGATGAACATGACCCAGTACTCCCTCAAATCTTCGGGGAGATTTACTGGGCTGCTTGTCGGCCTTCTCTTCAGCTGCAGTTCTCCTGACCATGGCATATGATCCTCGACCAGGATACCCCATCCTTCCTTCATTGTGTCCAAACTGGTGGGCATGATAAACTCCATCCATGACAATTCGTATTGGCCGTCTCGTGTATTCCCAGTCATTTCATAAAAACGATCGTTTGCCTCCCTGAGGAGACCCTCTGGACTGATGAGGAACATGCCAAGTGGGGAGAGTTCTGTCATGCGTCGAAGTCGGTTATCTTGGAGTACAAGCTGCTGGGTGAGTAGTTCTTTTTCTAATGCGGCGGCTTCGGCGGCATCCCGATTTCGACGGACTTCCTCCTCGAATAAAATGATGGAAGCCAAGGAGGTAGCGAGCTGTCGATGGAGCACAGTCGTAAATGACTTGTACTTGTCGTCGTACGGCCTCCTCGGGTTTACTCCAAGGACAACAAAGGCCAACACAGCATCACCATTCGTTGGGCGGGCGGGAAGGATGATGGCCTCGCGGCAAGGCTCCCCAAACCCGCGCCAATTGATGCCCTCCAGCAGAGCATCGGGGAGAGTGCCGTCCCGCGTGTGAAGAAGAGTTGGTTCGCGGGTCCGCATAGCTTCTCGGAAGGAAGGCACGAAACCTTCTCGGCTGCGCTTCAGATCCAGGCATTCTGGGGCTGCCACATGCCCATCGGGGACACCGATAGAGCCTTCTAGGTAGCACGTCTTCAAAGATATGGTGCTCCCAGAGGAGACAGAGGAGTGGTCAGTATCTTCACCATCGCCAACAGAATACAGAAGGGCGAACGGAACATCATGGTGATTGGTCTCCAATGCGTCTAGAACTGCCCTCCAGAACTGCTTAACCGTCTTGGCGTGCGCGGTGAACTCGCCCAGCTTGGTAATCGTGTGTGTCCTACGCTGGCTGAGCACCTGGTCGGTGGTCTCAAACGGGGCATTGTAAAACCCAAGAATGCGGTCACTGCCTCCATAGAGCGGGGTGAAGGACCAGGAGTAAAATGTCTCCTCGAGAAGGTTGTGCCGATCGATCGGGAGGTAGTCGTTCTCCTTACGCACACTGATGCCGGTACGGGCACATTCAGCGAACACCGGGCCAGCGTAGTCCCAAAGCTCAGAGAAGGGCCCAGAAAATCCGGTCCCCATGAGTGAAGGGTGTTTGTTTCCAGCTACCTCAGCAGCATAAGCTTCATTGTACACCATGGTGAGCTCACTGCCCCAGAACAGGGCAGCGGGATGCGGATTGCCCATGCATAAGTTGGCTAGTTGACGGAACTCGGGCAACCATTTCTCCATCGGACCCAGAGGTGTTGATGCCCAGTTGACACTGCGAGCAAACTGGAGGTGAGCAGACAGGATGCCCTTGGGTTCAAGTACTGTCCAGTCAGTGACAGCCCTCTCGGGCCGGGAGAGCGTCAAGGATCCGGCACTGTGAGAAGAACACTTGGTTTCATCTGAGCTACCAGTGGGCGTCTCCTGGTAGCAAAAAGATGTTGAGGTATAAGGAACTCTGGATGATGCCAGAGTGCTTATTGCCGTTTGAGAGGTCGAGTCCTGCTGTCTCATCGCTGATTTAGCAGGTGCAGCAGTAGCGGGAGGGGGTACAGTTGAGGCTTGAGGATTGGCCGTAGTCGATTCCTCTCGCGACCTTTTCGCTCGTTTGGCGCGCACACCCCCGGTTGCCACCTCGGGAGGAATCCCAGATGAAAGATCTCGGGGGCCAGAGGCCTCTGCTGCTCGCCACAGACGATTGCCACTAACCAACCTCCAGCGTTTGCGTACAGTAGAGCCGCTCCACATAAAATCGCCGTAGAGGAAGCAAAGGGGATAAACGTCCTTGGAATCATCGTGAGTCGTGACTCCAGTTGCCCAGAGCTTGAACTCTTGATACGAGCTTGATGGCTGGACGTAGTGCTGCACGGAAGTCAGGCCATGGGCAGCTGGCGACATGAATGAGGGGTCTCCAAACGGCACACCTTGGGCTTCACGGCCTACCAGACTATCATATAAACGCTCATGCAAACGGAGGGCGGCGTTGCAGAAGACCGGAAGGAGGTACGTCTCGCAATCGGGAGCCTCCAGGTCGGGGTCAAGGTCAATGACAAAGGTCGGCCGCGAATCAGCGTCGAGAACATCCCTAAGATGTACATCATCCAACTCTTCGAGCACGCTTTTCTCCATCGTCATGGCCATCACCTAGACTTGGCCGACAGTTTCTGCCAAGAAAAGGTTAGGCAAGTGTGCTACAGGGCATGGAGCAGGCGTAGGCGACAGATTCTCGACGACTCGACGGGTTGTGCGTGCCAACGGTGCTACACCACAGCGTTTCTAGCATGACATACCCCGTGCCAAACGTGGGGGCAGGTTCAGCCGAGCGGCGTGGGTGTGCGTTTGAGGTGGATCGAAATGTTGAAAGCATCCCATGGATGAAGAAAGGGATCCCTGGGTCAGGGCAGGGGCCAGGGGGCGCACAAAAGCATCTGCCGTTCTCGCGAGAGATTTTCTGCTATCGACCCAGCATGGTGGTTAGCTTGCATTTTACTCGAAAAGCAGCTCAGGTACGCAGACAAAGCAACGCGAAATTGACCAGGGCGATGACGTTGACGATCTTCTCCCCTTGAATTGAATTGAGTGACTGAGGCGGAAAATTATCGGCCCATCTTAAGATGCCGTCACCTCAAGTTATGCAACTAGATTACTAATTAGGCCCTTCACAATTTGCATTAACTGGTGGCCACAAAAGGGCCCTACCCTATACCTGCCCCTTCGTCTCGATTTATCCATGCCTCCCCGGTATGCTCCTGTTCTTTGTCTGATAAATTTTATGATGCGGAGAATCGTAGCGATCATGCTTATATTTTTTTGGCGTTCTTGAAGGAATCATCTTGGTAAAGGCATGGCTTCAACGTGCAAATGAACTTCTACCACCAAGCACGAATATCGACTGAATTTCAATACTTTTTGCTTCATGAATTGATACTCAGTGAACAACTAGACCAAGGACTCGGATGAGTATCTCAAAAACTAAACAATAGACAAGACGTGCGTTTGCGATTACGGGGACAGTTCTCTTTTGGGTGGTGATATCATCCATTCGCTGGATCGAAACATGCGCGATGAAAACACGGCAGAGCGTTTCGATCACCCAAACAATGCGCCCTTTTATTGTCTTCCTATTGGCCAACTGAGGTGCAAGCATCGACCCATTCTTTTCCTGCGACAAACCAATTACATTGCGCGTTTGGATAATTAAAGGCTGGGGATGCAATTTCCGCAGATTCGCTAGCTAGTGACGTATCCTCCCCTGTCATACATGTTTCATCTCACTCAAAGCCATCTCAGGGTGACTTCTAGATGTGAGCACTACAGTCCAGGCGAAGCCTTTGCCGTCTCTGGCAATCCCGTGCCTGTGAGACGTTTGAAATCCTCCGATATGAATTCCCAAATCTTGGTTTGGGTACCATTGCTCCGAAGCTGAGCTACCATCTCAACGGCTCTGGCTGGTAGAGGGCGAAGATGGTGATCCATCGAGTACGCTCCACTGCCTGTCTCTCCGTCGGTTCCAATCACCGTTCCCTCACCGCCAGGAACAAGAACACCTGCGGATTCCATACTGTCCTGAGCAGGCTTAAAGAAAGCACTCGTAGCCAGGAACATGTGTCTCTCTCCGCACTCGTCAGGAAGTACCTGCAGAAAAGGTTCGAATAGATATCGCGATATCAGGATAATCAGCTTTAGCGAAAATCCTTCGGCGTCACGATTGATCCCACCCCTCACAATCCCAGGTAATGAGTGGATGAAGCTGACGGTCGGGGCGAGCCGTGAAAATTCTTTCAGAACTAATGTCTGAATAGAAGACAACTGGTCCCGCCATTTTCTTAAGGGGAAACCCTCCCCAAAAAAGTTGCTCATATCCACCGGCCCCTCGACTGTTGCCGCCCCAACACTGACCACTCGGCGTAAGGTGTCGGCTTGTTGAATCAAAGGAAGCAAGTTTGCGATGAAGCGAGTTCGTGAATGGGTGGCAAGAGATGCGGCCAGAGGCAAGCCATCCGGTGATTCTAGGCATGATCAGAATACCAGCTTGAAGAGGAAGTTAAAAGACATATCTTACTTTTATTGAACCCCATACTGCCTTGAGATAGAAAGAGGAGGTTGATTGTGGTTTCTTTATTCTTGATTTCATCGCAGACGCCGTCAACCCCCCGTAAAGCACTTACATCCGCTTGGATGAACTGAAACGTACTTCCAGAGCTGACTTGCTCGCATTCTTGAATGATGCGATCAGCAGACTCTTGAGAGCGCCCGACAATATACACCCGAGAATTGGTAGAGTATTTCGCAAAGGCTTTGACTGTATACTCGCCAACGCCACTGGTCCCTCCAACGAAGACAGCTACTAGTCCATGAGGGAAGCTGGCAGATATCTTGTTGTTGGAAGAGGCAATACTAGTAAGAAGGGACATTGCGAAGTGAGGGATAGAGGATCCAGAGAGACTTGCTTGTACGGTGATATCAGACTTGAGAGAGCGAGGAAGACTTGGATTTTATATGTTTGTGGTATTGCATAGAGAGGCTGGCTGCCATGGTCTCGGTGATATGGATATAAATCCGGGCTACTTCTTCTAGAGATGGTGCTTAGCCTATTTCAGCGATACGAGCCGAACAGAGTGATATCTAATTGCTACTTGGGGTGATGGGCGATGATGTACGATTTGCCATATCATTCCTGTTCCGTTACCCTCCTTCTTGATAGTCCTGGAGCGGTGGTGGGAATGCTATACATTAGTGAGCCACTACGCTGCTGTCATACTGATATTCTTATCCTATTGGCTATCTCAGTTGGTGATTAACTGAGTTAGATAATTCTTCAGCCATTTTTCAGATCTGCTGGCGTGGCCATGGGCCCACCAGTACTCGCTCGAGCAAAGGAGAATTCTTGTAGCGCGATAGAAGTGGTACAAAACAAGCAGAGCATGCGGATCGCTCTCCTGGACCATCGATGCAAACGCCCCGTGACATGATACTGGAAACATAAAAATACACCTCGCTAGATCTGAAAGTAGAGGTCCTTCATCAGGGTCTGGCTGCGGCTGCCCCGGTCCAGGTAAAAATGCCAGAATAAGGCAGAGTCGACCGATTGCTGGCACATAACCACCTTCTATTGGGCAGGAGATATCATGAACATGGTGCTGCCACAGATCTAGCGCAGCATCAGACGAGCTTCTCTCAAGAGACGGCAGCGAGGTAAGCATGTTTAGATCAAGTGGGCGGGAGTGGGAAAAGAAATCCTGAAACTTGGCCAACGAATGTCTGCTTATTTGTGCGGCTGCCGCTAACTTTCTCATAGGGGGATGCTGTAGATGCGGGAGGAATATTGATGGCGATGGATGAGAAATCAGCGGAACACTGGCTAGAAAGGTCTTTTTCAAGCTTGAACTGATCGAAAAAACATTGTCTTTTGATTCATATGCTGATACAGGGCTGTGGTCGGATGCAAGAGGGTCGGGTTGGGACCATACTTCATACAGAAGTAACAGCGTGGTTGCGATGAAGGCGTCGATATGAGTTGAAGTAAAATTCGTAGATAGCTGATATTGAAAGAGCGACAAGGCTCGGCACAAATGCTGAGCTGCCGTCGCCGAGTGCTCAATGTTATCAGGCTGCAGTAGGGAAAGATGCCGAGCAGCCACACAAAGGATGGTATTCATCAAATACTCAAACTGGAAGGAAAGCTGAAGTACCTTTTTCCATACATCAGGGTCGATCAAAAGCGTTTTATGAGTAGATGATTCGAAATGGTGAAATAGTTTCGTGTGGTGCAGGTTCACCATGGCATTATCTGAGATTGAATTTGGAAGAGTCTGCGAGAGTGCTGGATAAGATCTTCCATTGGCATTCAAATTTGCAGAAGCTATGCAAGTGTCACCCCTTCTGGTGCAGTTCTCACAAGGGTCGTCTTCATTGCACTATTACCAGCACGGTTAGATGAAGAAGTGATGATGGGGTCACTACATTGACCAAGAATTGGCCGACATTTTATAGAGCCTACCTTTACTCGTCGCCTTCTGCAGTTCTCACACCCTTTTCTAGATTTATTATGTACGCGGCGCTTTCTCGAGACATTGAGGGCTAGAGCCTTTGGAATTTCGGAGAGTGACTGCTCCGTATGTGTCGTGCTGTACAGGACAAAAGTGTGGGTAAAGTCCGCGAATGTCGGGCTTTGCCTCTCGGCATTGGCATCAAAGACTTGGAAGGATGACATGGAAGGCTGCTAGCATAGATGTCTAGACGAATATGGCCCGTACTGGTGGTTTGGGATTTCAGAGTGGTAAGCTTCTGCTATTAAAGTTGGAGGAATGTTAACTCCGTTGCGTAAGCCCGAGATGGATGATGATGTGCAACTAAGCCCATTAGAACGATACGAGACTAAAGAGGAAAAGAACTATGGAAGCTGCACACAAGTACCCACTGAACGGGTCCAATGATATCCATGGAACAATGTCTTTCGCCTGTTTGGGTGACCATTGGAAGCGACAAGCTCTTGTTCCTTCACTTTCTGAAGTGTGCGGTGTTTGCAAAAAGAACCTGTTACATGCCGCTGTGTGATGAATCTGCCGACTCTCCGCTGCTCTTACATATGTCCTTACAAACCGCAGACAAGTGGAATTCAAGGCAACCTGGTTTATTATCATCGCCGTGATCCATGGTTGAGCAGAGAAATCCTGAAATCTAGGAGCATTATTGAGAAAAATGGAGTATAAAAGAAGTCTCATATTGAGTGGACGCAATCCCGGGCGAGCTTTGGGCTGAGGGACCTATATTTGAAACTGATGTACATTGTGAGAAGAGGGTATAAGTGGTATAATGCCAGTTTATATACGCTGGAGAGCCTGTGTTTTCGTCTCTGTAGAATGCTTGGTTTCTGGTCTTGGCCGCTGGGGCTGGCTAATTTGCTCATTTACCTCGGGGTGTTACTGCGATATCCTTCGACGACAAGACTTATCGATGTGTAGACTCATCTATCGAACGGAATATTGACGAGATATGCTCTATACTCTACATCGCAGTTTTTCCTACTACCTTTCAGAGATAATTTATTCCTGATATGATCTGTTTCATTTCTTCGTGTCTCTATATCATTGCATACTTCATCATACATAGTGGCTGTCTCAATCTCCAAATAAACGAAAAGCTTTGTTCTTCTAGACACACTGTGCTATTAACTACTCTAGCCATTTCACTATCTACAACTAATCTTGTTGCTCGGGTTTCCATCCGCGGCTTGATCTACTCGTCATCGTTGATGTCGACAACGGTCTTTGTCCATTGGCGAGCAGGAACCTTGCGCTTGAAGAGAATATCAATCTCACGGTAGGACCTGTCCTTCATCTCAGGTAGGAAGAAGTACGCAACAACAAAGCAGAAGAAGCCAGTTCCACCCCAGACATATCCGCACTTGCCGCCAAGATTTGCGCCCTGTGAAATGTCAGTTTTTGTCAGTGAAAGGAGTTGGAAAGGAAGCTTACAGTTGTGGGGTTGAGCATCCAACTGGAGAGGAAGATACAAGGAATGTTGATGGCGTAGTAGGCACCACGTCCGATACCGGTGGTCAAAGGTCTAAGACGAACAGCCGATGTCTCTCCAATAATGACCCAAGAGGCAGGAGCAGGTCCCAAGGTGAACAAGACGGAGACGATAAGACCCAATGAAGCTTGTGCCAGAGACGCAGATTTCGACAAGCCGACGGACCCAGCGATACCAAGAGCGATCAAGAAGATGACATTGATGCCAGAGCCCCAAACGTAGATGGTACGTCGACCGAGGTACGTTGTGAGGATCCACGAAAGCATGACGAAAATCATCTGGAGCGCTGAGGTGATGAGACCCAGGGCGAACGAGGTGTTTGTGTCCATACCAGCCTCTGTGACTTGGTCAGCGCATGCACTTTACCTATAGCAGGAATGACGATGAACTTACGCTCGAAGAAGTAGACAGCCTGGTTGGCGATGAGGTTGCCAGTAAGATTCTGTGCCGCGTACACACCGCAAACAATCAAGGTACGGTAGAGGTCAGTGCCCCTGAACAGCTCCAAGTAGCCCGGCTCCTTTTCGGTCTTCTCGAGCTCGATGGTACGGCGAATCATAGCGACACTTTCGGCAGCATTCAGCATATCCTTGCGTCCCAGACGAGTGACCGACTTTGCTGCCTCTTCAAGACGTCCCTTTCGGACCAGCCACCAAGGCGACTCGGGCGCAATGAAGAGGAGGATGGCGAGTGGAGTAGGGAACATCCATTGAAGGGCGATGGGGATTCTAATCTCATTTCGTCAGTAAGAGAGCTGGGTTATTGACGCGGCAGTGTACACACCTGTATGCGTTCTCGTGAGGCATGGCGTTGTAGTGATAGGTGACACCACCAACAATGATACTTCCAATGGCCCAGAACATCTGTAGCATCTGGGTGGCAGGGGCTCGCAGTCTCAGCGGCACGATTTCACTGCAGTACGCCGGTGCGTTGGCGATGAAGATGCCCCACGGCACGCCCTCGAGGAGTTGAGCACCGAACATGACCGCGAGAGAGTTGGCAAAGTAGAAGACAAAGATGAAGCCATTCAGCGCCATGAGGCCGCTGATGGTCGCCCAACGATATCCGATTCGGCTGGTGAGGGGTCCGGCGAGACAGACGCCGATGATGGCACCGATTGGTCCACCCATTTGAAGTGCCGACTGCCAAGACGTGACGACCACGAACTCACCCGACGCTTCGTCGAATAGGCCGTAGTCCTCCTTGAACCGGGGCAACGCAAGGAAATTGCCCATGAGGAAAACGCAGTAGGACTCCATGATCTGAAAGGTCGTGATTAGCCGTGGTGCCCTCTGCACAGTCATTGGGTACGCAGCAGGCAAGGACTTACAATGGTGCAAGACATGACGAATGCCCACAGTGTAGCCATGGGATACGCCCGGACGGCCTCGAGCACTCCCATTGCGTGCTCGGCATTCTCGGCCTCGATGGCGCCCGCCCGGTCGACGGTTCCCTTCTCATCGTAGTTGGAGGCATGATCCGGAGGAGGGATACCCTCCTCGATCTTGACATCCGATTTGGTCATGGTGACTTGTTCTGCCCGAGTAAACAAAGGTTGGCTTGAAGGGAGAGGACAGGGAAACAGAGACAGAAGGTTCCATGGCGAGGGAGGATGCCACTTTTTGTAGGGTCTTGTCTTGGTAATTGCGCTGCAACGGTCTGCCGCATACCCGACGCATCGGACACATGTACGGAGCAGACGCACCCAATCCGCACGTTAGCAGCACCCAGCTCCGCGTTTCGACCAAGGGCATCTCGATACCCAGACGTTCTGCCTGCCTCGCGCCAGCTACACGCACCAATAGCGACCGGGAGGGCAGTCGAAGGCAAGGGGGACGGCGGTCCACTCTGGCCACCTCGCAGCCCAGAAGGGAATTGTCCCGTCCATTCAGGCGCCAGAGGGTCGCATGTCACGCTGGGTTACATCAGGAGTCCGGGGTGTACTTCCCCCGAATTCTCCAGCTTCTCCAAACTCTCGAGTCATCTCCACGCCTGATGTTCGCGGAAGCGATACACCGAAATGTGGAGACGCGGGGATTAGGTCCTTCCCTCTTTGGCCTCTGATTGGGATGGCAATCCTAGCACGGCGCTTCTCCGGTCTTAAAAGTCGACCAAGTATGTCGACCCTTCTTGCTAAGTGCATACAGCTGACGGAAGCGGCGAGAGAAGGGCACGCAGTAGTCTGGTTTCTGTCGAGCTTTGAGGGATAATCCGCCGTGCCTGCCTACCTACCTAACTGATGTGATGTCAGGAGCTGACTGTTCTCCCCGCCACGCATCACGACTTTGGTCCATTATTAAGCGGCAGATGGATCAGCCGAGCGGTAAATGGGACCACAAACTGCCAACCTTGAACCCGCCGCCAGCAGGGGCTGTCCATCTTCCAGAAGCGACAGTCGCCATGATTAGCTTCGTCCCGAGGCGGCTGGAGGATATACGTGCCAATGGCATCGTCTGGACTCTCGAGAGCATCCTCATACGTGCCAATAACAGCCCGTCTGCTGGGTCGGCTAGTGCCTGCCATGACAGGGGGAGGTAAAACAGCCAAATTTGGTTGCCGTGGACGAGTGTCAGGGCGTCGGCGGCTCGCTATAGGTGCGCCTGTCCTGAGGGAACATGGTTTGGTCGTATTCACGATCTCGCCCGCGGAAGCAGATTACTAGCTCCAACAAATTGGCTATTGAGGCAGATGACGTCCACGCGAGGCCCGCAGGCACCACACGTGCGCCATGCATCTCAGAGATGGACGGCTAGATCGAGCCGCTGGAAATACGAGTCGCGTTTAGCCAGCTGACCCTGAGTATTGATTGATACATGTATCATTCGCCCCGACAAGTAGGTGGCTCGATTGGCGCTGTGCTACTGGCCTTTGGAGGCCGCCCTTCTATTGCTACCCTATACCTCTTTAAAACACAGCGTGACTACGATCTGCATCTAAAGTTGATCATTAAATGATAGAAGAGGTCGCCCTAGGAGCATTGCGTTGCACTTTGGTTGAGAAATATATTTATATTTATCATAGCGGTTTGATCTTATCAATCAGAGCATGTCTGGAGCGGTTGAAAATCATGGCGGTTTGGCAGGGTCGATGGTAGTTCTTACTACGCCTTGCTTTGTCTTTGGGACTGCGTTGAAATAGGTACTTCTTTGCAACTCTGCTTGTGCATATGTTCAATCTCTGCCTCTGAATTAAAGAAACAAGCTCTCATAATGGTTTACTACATTGGCAATTCAATTGATTTATGAAAGTGCAGTCTCCTCTTTATGTTTGATAGTGAACCCGAGGCCTGCCACCCTCTAAGAACATGAGACGAGTACTTGAGGATATAGTTATTCATATAAAAAAACCGAGCCTTTATATGAAGGCCTGTAAAAGTGACTCATAAACTCCATACATTGCTTTTTATTTCATCTTTTAGCGAGTTCAGGGCAAAAACCGTAGCTTTCAAGCTTGCCGTCAAACTATTGCAAGGCGGCTCTGATCAGACACAAAACCAAAATATCTTTCATGAGCACCAATTCACACACCTTATAAGCCACAGCCCTCATTTCTCACGTGTCATTTGAGATCTAACCATGGGCCGCAACATGCTTCGATGGATGTTACGCCGGGATGATGGATGTGTGCACAGTTTCATTACGCGAATGTAAAAAAATATTAACACGGGATATTGATTGAAGAAGC